TTTACGAAAAGAAAGATAAAAGGCCAGGCATGGTGGCTCACACCTGTAATCCTACCACTCTGAGAGGCTGAGGCGGGAGGATTGCTTGAAGTCAGAGTTCAAGACCAGCCTGAGCAAGAGCGAGACTCCATCTCTACTAAAAATAGAAAACATTAGCCAGCCGTGGTGGAACAGCACCTATAGTCCCAGCTACTCAGGAGGCAGAGGCAGGAGGACCACTTGAGCCCAGGAGTTTGAGGTTGCTGTGAGCTAGGCTGATGCCATGGCACTCTAGCCCAGGCAACAAAGTGACACTATCTCAAAAAAATAAAAGAGAGAGAGAGAGAAAGAGAAAAAGAGGGAGAGAGAGAAAGAAAACAAAAGAAGAAATGCATACAGCTATAACTAGACCATTAAGTGATAAAAGGTCAAGTTCAGCATACTATACAGTGTATGAACCCACCTACTTTAAAAGGAAAAAAGATAACACATATAAACATATACATAACTGCAGATGCAGAGAAAATGTAAGCACAAGAATTTGTTAATAGCAGTGGCCTCAATGGAGCTGAGGGTTGAGAAGACAGACGAGAGGACTTTTATCTTTCACCTTTTCCATGGTTTGAATTTTTACATTAAATGTGAGTTTTATAATTTTAAAAAAAGCACAAGGATTTATTGTTTTTAGTGCCCAAACTTTTACCTCTAACTGCTTCACCTTTACACACTGGCGATTTCACAGATATGCTAACAAACCTGTTTCATAGACTAGACCTTAATTTAACTGGAAGAAAATTTTAAACTCATTCAACTTTAGATTCGAAATCAGCTGGTCATTCCCAAATGACTCACAAGGGAAAAAATTTAAAAATACAAATTAAATTAAAAATAAATAAACAAAATCAGTTGGCTGGCACTGCTCATCATGGAGGTGACTGGAAAGGCTCACACCTGGCAAAACAAAATGGGAGAGAGGCTGTCCAACTCATCGACCAGCACAAGGTTTTTGAGTGGTCTTGGCTGAAAGAAGAATGTGTCTCCTTCTTCCAGAGGCATGGCAGATGAAAACTCAGGTTCTTCATCATCATCTCCAAGATGTGCAATTTGATATAAGTAACTGGGGAGAAGCAGAGAAGAAAAACTTTAGTTAACATGTACTGTCTAAAGACAACATTTGACATGGACATAATGCAAGAGCTATTAGATATTACTGTTACTAATTTTAGGTTTGATGATGAAGCATGCTAGCCGGAATTTGTTCAAGACAATTCAAGGAGGCCAGGTACAGTGGCTCATGCCTGTAATCCCAGCACTTTGGGAGGCCAAGGCAGGAGGATCACTTGAGGCCTGGAGTTCAAGGCAAGCCTGAAACTCCTGACCAGCCTGGGAAACATAGCAAGACCCCATCCCTACAAAAAATTTTTAAAAATTATCTGGGCATGGTGGCATGCACCTGTAATCCTAACTACTTGAGAGGCTAAAGCAGGAGGATCCGTTGAGCCCCGGAGTTTGAGGCTGCAGTGAGGTATGATAGCACCACTACACTCCAGCCTGGGCAACAGAGCAAGATCCTATCTC